TGCTTAACTTCCCCGTAACTTTGTACTCCTCTTGATTTTTGCATCGTTTGTTGCAAATTTCTGACGCGCCCCTAACTGGGCATCTGTGAAAAAGAGCTTCGTAGGTCATCGGATTCTTCCAGTCCAAATAAAGATGAGCGATTCTGAATGATGCGGTTGTGTATACGATTTGTGTAACGTGGAAAACAAAACGGTTCGATCGGCGAGCAAGAGGAGAAATGAGAAATCGACACGAGCCGGACGGCAACAACGAGACGTTAAGATCAAGAATCAGAATCTGAATATTTATTCGTGCTGGAGGAATCCGATGAGCTATAAAGCTCTTTTTCACCGATGTCCAGTTGGGGCACGGGGTAAGAACGTTACAACAACAAACAGTACAAAAACACGACAATCAATTATTGACTCCGACTCATGACCCCCAATTGTGACCGTTCATCGGGACTGGGGGGCAGGGCGAGACGCAGGGGTGTGGGGGGGGGGCAGGAGGGTGGGGGGGGGGGGGTCAGGTGGTGCGTGGTGGTGGAACGTTTCCCCATCCCCGTGCTCACCTTGGTGCGCTGCGACGCGGCATGCGCGCCCGGTTCTTCCCGTGCGTCGTCCAGGTGGCGAGGAGACTACGGCGGCAAGAAGCAGCTGTGGTTCCCCTCCAACTACGTGGAGGAGATGACCTGCACCCTGCCGCAAGGCCTGGAGGAGGCCGTGAGTTCGGTGCACTTGAGCCGCGCGCGACCGTCACGGCTCTCCCAGGTCGCGGCGCTGCTTTTTATCCCTGAGCCATCTCCCCTGTTTATTTTAAGCAAAAGTTGTGGATGCGTCTTAGAATCTTGCCGGAAAGAGTAAAACCTATACGTATTTTTCATATGGCTTGTAATCCGGTTAGGTGCATCGCGTGTGTGCGTGCCTGCGTGTGTGTGCGTGCGTGCGTGTGCTCGCCCACAGCACTTGCCCCACAAAAGTCTGTTAAGGCTATCCAGTGGATGTTTGTCTTTGTGTGCGTGTGCGCGTGTGTGCGTGTGTGGGGAGCGGTGGTGCAGCGGTTGGCGCGCTGCTTGACAGACCCGCGTTCGATTCCCACTCGCGGCCAACACCAGCGACGGTTATATGATGAACCAGTCCTGGGCCCTCCCCTAGGTCGGCTTGGCCTTAAATTAGTAGCTGGTGCGGTGTGTATACATCGGCACTGGGGAGTCAAAGGCGGGCGGGCGAATCGGATCCGAAATCCGACGGGGCCGGGAGCATTTCTGGGTGACTTGGTCATGGGGGTCTTTTTATCGTAAATCGCACCACCATCAATAATCGACAGCGCTTCTGTCCGCCCAGCGGAATGAATGAGTTCAGCCACAGCGAGCGGATCGGCAGGTCGCGCGCGGTGGGATAAAGTGTGGGTACTGTCACCCCATTGTGGAAGAGCAGTCCAAGTTACCCTTCTGAAAGAGGGGATCTAGTCGACTTCCCTTCAGCGGAGGCCCTTCCACCAGCAGTGACGCAAGCGTTGCGTGGCAAGGGTTGCGCCTTTGCCTTGCGCGTACGTTGAACTTCTTCCGAAAAAGCGTACGTAGCCAACCGTGCTCATGGGGTGGGTGGCGGGGGGGGGACGAAGGACAACGAACTAAACGCAACGAGAAGCAGTTGTAACGAAACGAGTTTTCAATGTCACTGCGTTGTCGTTCCTTGCAGGCCGCCGCCGTCGAGAACAGCCCCCTGGGCAACTTCCAGAAGGGCATGATTGACGTGACCACGTGCGCAGTGGGTAAGTGCCTCCCCCGTCCGTTGTTCGTCATCGCGTTGGTGGGGGAGGGCGCTTTAATAATCGCGTTGGCGGGAGGGCGGTGGATTAATCGTCGTGTTGGTAGGAGGGTGATTTAATCGTCGCGTTGGTTGACGGGAGGGAGAGGGATTTAATCGTCGCTTTGGTAGGAGGGTGATTTAATTGTCGCATTGGCGGGAGGGCAATTAATCGTCACGTGAGTGGGAGGGAGATTACAAAGGTCCGTGGCCTGACTGAGAGAGGGATTAACTTGGCCCGGATGAAGCCGTGTCGTTTCTCTACGTGGTCCCCTTGAAGGACTTTGCCTCGTCGCTGTTCCAGGGTTTTAATTTCTGCAAGGGATGAACTCCTCGTCTCCTCTCTCAGATTGGCACTGGAAAGTCGCTTTCTCCTTGAGCGATTGTTTGACTGTTTCGTCTAATGCCTTACACCAGGGCCCGTGCCAACCACGCTAATCTGCTCGTGTCTCGACCTCCCACGTGGAAATGTATAGTGGCCAAATACTCTAAACCCATGTTAATTCTAAATGTGGAGGGAAAAACCGGAGGACCCGGAGAAAAATCCACGCGACTACGCGGAGAGAGAGAGACACGCAAACTCCAAATATACAGCAGGCCTCAGGGTTGGGCTTGAACCCACGGCCTCCTTGCATACCAGGCGAGGTAGTTAACATCTCGCCACGCCTCCAACCCGGTACATCGCAGAAGCGGCCGGCAAGTCTGCCAGTAGGCAGTAGGGGGGGGCGGGGGGGCGATGTTTGCGACGCGGCTTCACGTCTGCCTCTCTCCCCGCGCGCCTCTGCACCGCCACCACGGCGGTGGTGGTAGTCGTGCCGCGGGATGGCAAGGGAGCCCAGCGCTACGTGTTCAGCGTGCAGTCAATACACATGCACCCGCCGCTGCCCAAGCCGCTGGAGATCGCCGCGCCCTCGCTGGAGGAGCTGCACGAGTGGGTGTCGAAGGTCAAGGACGCCGCGTCGGCCGCCGACATGAAGGCACGTGCGCGCGACGACCGAGCCGTCGGACAACGACGGCGATTTCCATCGTGATTTGGTGATCGCGCCAATCTCGAGGGCGCGAGGCGTGTTTTACGGACGGGTCTGGTGTGCCAGCCGAGGGCGACGTTGCTTGTGTGGCTTTACCCAGTTGAGTAATTTGCGGCGTAAATTTTCTGATTTGGCAAATTTGGACCGGAACGCCGGCACACGTGGAATTCCACCATTTCCAGTAATGTCACGGAATTTCTTTTTTTTGACTGCAAGCCAGACGGTGCGTATTATTTTGCTCAACACGCCCGCGGTATTAACCAGGGCGACCGCCAGTTCTGAACCACCAAACCTCGGCAACAAACGCCAAGCGCACCACCGCTCGACCACCTCGCTGGCGGCGGACGGCCGCTGTTTTTTTTCCCGTTACCGAAACGGCATCGATCCGTGGCGGTGCGGCGCTTTTAATGGCTTTTCTCGGAAACTCGGTCGAAAGTGGCGGTGGTGGTTTTGAGATTATGCTGAACGGATGCCTCGGCTGCCGCAGATGACGCATGGCGTAGCAGTCGCAGGTGATGAGCGGGGGTGGTGGTGGGGAGGGACAGTGTGGGCGGTGGAGTGTGATGTCGGAGGAATCCAATCGGACTCTCCTAGTGACAATCAATAATGATGTGTCTCTAGCAATGTGATACATGTGCGTAATGTGGTGCGTGCATCTATGTGTGTGTTTGCACGCGCGTGTGTACATGCCTGGGTGTGTTTGTGCGTGCCTGCATGTGCACGAGTGTGCGTGCCTGCGCGTGTCTGTGCATGCACGCGTGTATGCCTGCTTGCCTGTGCGTGTGCGTGTGTACGCACCTGCGTGCGTGCGTGCGTGCGTTCCTGCTCGTGCAGCTCAGCGAGGGCAAGCAGATGGAGCGGAGGAAGAAGATCGCCCTGGAGCTCTCCGAGCTCGTCGTTTACTGCCGTCCTGTGCCCTTCGACGAGGAGAGTGAGTGAATCGCGTGCTCTGCCAGCTCCTTAAGTGCAGGCCTCGTGATGGCGGCGTCGCTCTCGCGAGCGCGACGCGACGCGGCGTTCGTAAAAACGCGACGCCGATGTCACGCTCGCAAACGTGTGTGGTGATGCCTTCACGTTACGCAAGTTTCCTCGCGTCTCCGTCAATCCGCTGGAAGCGAGGAGTTTCCCAGTTGCGGGCCGGGCGTGGAAAAGATTCCATGACACGGGGAGAGGAGGAGAGAGATGCAAGGGAACGGACAGAGACACACGGACACAAACAGGAACGTGAGAGGATGACATCGGTTTTGGGGAGGCGGTCCTCATACAGCAGTGGAGTGATCATGGCTTTGTGATTTAAAAAAATGTACAGATAGTCCCCGACTTACGATGGTCCGACTTACGATATTTCGATCTCACGATGGCGATAGCGATATGACAAGATTGTAAAATATTTTTAATTTCGCGCGGCAGGCAAACGCAGCAGCGTACGAGGTACGATACTGTAACTTTTTCATCGCCATCCTCCTCTTCCGACAACTTAGTTAATGTAGCCATCAACAACCTGACATCGTTCAAGTATGCAGACGACGGACAGAATATTGGCGAGTAACAGTAGAATATGATACGTTACGATACGTTCAATGCACGTATGATACGTAGCTTTAGCGATTTCATTTTAGGGTTACCACGATACGTTACTTACGTTCAATGCATGTTAAAAGTTTTTTTTACAGCAGATAGGATTGTTTCCTGAAAAAAACTTTCTTTGAAAATTGCAGTTCATATAGGTAGGCTAAGAATTTACCTTGTTTTTTACTTTACATTTTACTGTTGCAATACAGTATTGTAATTAATAAATACATACAGTATATAGTTTATACAGTACGGTACTGTAAATTGCTCTGTTTTGCTAAATTATCACCATTCTTTAAGACTCCTGGGTAGGCTAGGCCATCTTCGACTTACGATATTTTCGACTTACGATGGGGTCGTCGTAACGTATCTCCATCGTAAGTCGGGGACTACCTGTATCTGCCCCCCCCCCCTCCCTTTTAGCCCCCCTCCACCCCCTATCCATTCCCTGGAGGGTTATCGGAGTTAAGTAAGTCGACACCATGTAGAGTTTATTGAAACACACGGCACAGACAGGTTCGAAATATAAAACGTTGGTGGTAATCATTGTACAGTGAAATTGCGAGCATAATTCGTTCCGGAAACGTGTTTGTAATCCAAAGCACTCGTATATCAAAGCACTCGTATATCAAAGCGAATTTCCCCATAAGAAATAATGGAAACTCAGATGATTCGTTCCACAACCCAAAAATACTGTATTCATATAAAAATGATTATTACAAAATACCTTTTTATATTTTTATTATTTAAATTTAATATAAAGTAATCAAATGTATTCATTACAATTAAACGTGGCTGGTGTGAGGGAGACGAGAGAGAGGAGAGGAGGGTTATTGTGTAGGACGACTTTCACTTGCAGTACAGTTACACAACACTATAGTACTGTAGTAAACAGTATACACGTGGTCACAACACTATAGTACTATAGCAAACAGTATACACGTGGTCACAACACTATAGTAAACAGTATACACGTGGTCACAACACTATAGTACTGTAGTAAACAGTATACGCTCGCACGGATGTTGACTATACGAGTGAGACACGCCAACCGAGACCGAGCATGGGAGACGATTACCCACAATCCCGCAGCGAGAGAGAGAGAAGAACCATTGGCTCAGTTGTGATCACGTGACGCTCGGCAGACAAAGCGTTATACTGCACACGTACTGCTCGTATTGCAAGACCTCGCTCGTTTAGAAAATAATTATTTATTTAAAAAAATTTGCTCGTCTTGCAAAACACTTGCAGACCAAGTTACTCGCAATCCAAGGTTTCACTGTACTTCGCATTGTGTCTGCTACTGGTGTCGGTGTCCCATAACACGCCCTCTGCGTGTACCGTAATCGTTTGTTCAATAAAAAATACTTTTGGGGGGGGAAAAAAAAATGCGTCTTTTCTCATCCCCCCCATCCCCCCACCCCCGCGGCAGAAATCGGCACGGAGCGTGCGTCCTTCAAGGACATGTCGTCCTTCCCCGAGACGAAGGCCGAGAAATACGCCAACCGCAACAAGGGCCGCAAGTTCCTCCAGTACAACCGTCGCCAGCTCAGCCGCGTCTACCCCAAGGGCCAGCGCCTCGACTCCTCCAACTACGACCCGCTGCCCCTGTGGGCCTGCGGCAGCCAGCTGGTGGCGCTCAACTTCCAGACGCCCGGTACGTGAGGCGGTGGCGGTCTGATTCGGCAACATTTATTTTTACTTGAAAAAAAATTCACGATGGCCGGTGGGGCGAGGTTTGAGATGTGATGGCGATGATGATGATGATGATCGTAACTTAATGATAATAATAACTTCAATTTGTAACATATTCACTCATCTGGAGGAGAAAAAAAATGACAACGACCCTGAGGTGCAAAGAACCACAGGTAAGTGGGAAGGCAACCAGGCGGAGAGCCAGCGCCAACAGTTGCCCAAGCTCTGCGGCCCTCGCTATATTAATATGTTTTTGTCACAAACTGAGGGTTTATACGTGTGGGAGGAATCCAGAGCACACAGAGAAAACCCACGTGTGCAAGGGGGCAACGCTGTATCCCATATAGAAAGTACAGATATTAAGTCCACACTATGCTGTACCGCCTTCTTCTGGTAAACCAGTTGCATGGCACCCCGACGCCCACGGGAAGGGAGTTTCGCAACATTTGTGCAGTCATCCACCAACCCTCGTCACCCCCACCGTGCTGGCCTACGGGCCAAGTTGCATCGCCACCATCGCTTGGCGAGATGAGCGGAGAGAGAAGGCAAAGAGGGTGCGGGGGGGGGGGGGCCGTGTGGAGTGTGAGCCAGACAAGCTTTGTGTAGTGCTTGGCCACACCAGCCTCTCGTGTGTGTTGGTGATAACAGCTGCTCGCAAACAGCGCGCGCGTGCGTTTCTGTGCTTGTGGGGAACGGTAGTGCAGCGGCTTAGCGCGCTGCGTTACGAACCCGGCGACCCGAGTTCGATTCCCGCTCACAGCTAACACCGGTGATGATTATCTGAACTGGTCCTGGGCCTCCCCTAGATCGACTCGGCCTCCAATGAGTTCCTAGTGTGGTGTGTAAATAGGGAGACAAAGGCGGCCAGGTGTGGTGCTGGCCACCCACCCCCTCGTGTGCCGTGCCGGCCTTCATAGGAGCAACTCGCTAGCAGCACTTGCCCCAACAGTCTGTTAAATCTATACGGGGGGGCGGGGGGGGAGAGAGATATTTGTCTTTGCCGAGCGTGTGCGCGCATTCACGTGAAGATGACAGGTGCAAGAGCGAGTCATCCATCTGATTGGTGCTCGCTAACAGCACTTGCCTCATAAGTCTGTTAGGGCATTAACACCCGCGGCGGCCCCACGAACGCGGCGGATTGGCGCAGAGCCGGCCTACGGCCAACATCGGTTTGAGCGGGGGGGGGCGGGGAGGGAGGCGGAGATCTCTGAGGCGGCGCTGCTCGCACGCGGTGTCGTGGTTGCAGACAAACCGATGCAGCTGAACCAGGCCCTGTTCCTGCTGGGCGGCCGGAGCGGCTACGTCCTGCAGCCGGAGATCATGCGCGACGACTCCTTCGACCCCTTCGACAAAACGTCGCTCAAGTCCCTCGAGCCAATCAGCATCCAGCTGACGGTGAGGACGCACCAAGGTTCGCGCGCAAGTCCGGGTTCCCTGGCAGCTCTGGGTCGACGTTGTAGGGGTGTGGGGGGCGCGGTGATGTCACCGCGGGTGGTGAGCCATCCACCGCCCCCCCCCCACCCCTAAAAACGTAACACCCGATTATGTATGTTTAACTTCTTTCGCACGTACGTAGCTAACCGTGCTAATCGGAGGTGCGCACGGTTGGCTATGTACGGAGCGAAGTCTCGCTTGGAGGAGGGGAGGCCTGCATCCAGCAGCGGATCGATCGGGGCTGTTGATGCTGGCGATGATAAAGAAGCGCTGAACTAAATGTCGGGCAGCGGCGGGACACACAGCCTAGGTAGGTAACCACAAGATTAGGGCTGTTTGTTTTGTTCGGGTTACGTCTGTTCATTTACCGAGCGTGACCCTCTTGACTGACCTCCGACGGTCCGCTTGGCACGGTGCAACGGCCGCGTGGGTTTGTACGGCGCCCGTGTGGCGAAATCTCTCTGCGCGGCGCTGTGCTGCTTGGTTCTACTCGCCCGCGTAGAGGGGGGCCGAGGTTGTTTGCTTTGGGTTGATTCTGTGGAGATGCCGCTGCAGGGCACGAAGGAGTTGAGGGAGACCGAGGGCGAGCCAGAAGGATGCAGTAGAATGAGTTAGTGGGGGGGGGGGGAGGAGAGTGAATGTGACTAAAACTAAACTAAACTATTTTTTATTTTACCAGGTAATCAGAAATGACAATATTTGTTCATACTGGAGGAACCCGATGAGCTATGAAGCTATTTTTTTTAGAAGCGACCTTGACCACAAATGACAGCTCAAAGAAGTGGCTTATTGTCACGTTGAGATGTATAGCAGCCAAATAATCTGAACGCGCGATGTTGATTCTAAATGTGGAGGGGGAAAAACCGGAGGACCCGAAGAAAAATCCACGCGACCACGGATAGAGAGACACGCAAACTCCAAATATACAGCAGGCATCATGGTCAGGATCGAACCCACGACCTCCTGCATACCAGGCGAGGTAGTTAACATCTTGTCACCGTGGGCAGAGGCACCAGAATATACGTGACTTGGAGAAACAAATTGGAGCAGCCGACCCCATGTAATAATAACCTCGCTCTTTGCCATGAAGATGGGCCCTTGCCCGAAACGTCGCCTAGTATATATTTTTCCTTTTAATGCCACACTCGCAGAGTGTTATTATTGACAAATGTGCCGAGCGCTTTTGTTAATCGTGCTTATTGCACCACTGCCGACGCAGCATCAGCACGTCGCGCGTTTTTTAATCCGTGCCGTGATGGGATGTTTGGCCAAAGAATCGGAAATCTTCATCTTTCGGGATCTTTTATTCGTGCTGCAGAAATCCGTTGAGCCTCACGGCGCACCATTTCACCGATGCCCAGAAGAATAAGATGAGGGCGGCGAATGTCTTCGTCAACCTGCCTCTCTCGTGTTCGTTCGCCTGCGTTCCTTCTCGATCGCACGTCGGTTGCGTCCGTCGATACGTCGCTGTGCGCCGCCGTCACCGCCGCCACCCATGTCCCCCGCCCCCCCACCCCCACCTTGGCCGCACGGCCCCGCAGATCCTGGCGGCTCGGCACCTGCCGAAGAACGGCCGGGGCATCGCGTGTCCGTTCGTCGAGGTGGAGGTGTGCGGAGCCGACTACGACTACAGCAAGTACAAGACGGAGGTCGTGCGTGAGTAGCGCCTTTGCCGCGCAGGGAATTTTACCCACTGAACCCTTCCACGTGTATACGTCACCGTTTCTTTTTTTCTTACGATGACGTGCGCTTGACGTCATCGGAACGGAGCCAGAAGAAAAACCAAAAGTAAAATAACTTTATCATTACCGAGGCTCCCACAAGGCCATGCGGGAGGGCGCGTGGCGCAGTTTGGCGCCGGCTATCGTAGAGTGCGGCGGTCGTGTCGCTGCGGCTCTCTGCGTTGACTACGATGTTTTTTTTAAAACGGCGGGGCTACGCCTCTCTGGGTAAAATTAACGCTCGCGCGCTCCGAGATTCGGCGGTGAACGGGACACACCCTCTCCGCAACTTGCAGACGTCTCGGAACGGGAAAGGGTTCAGTTATTAGCGGATAATTTGGCAACTTTGGATCGTGACGTGGCGCTCTCTGTTTCGAGTAACGTCACAGGATCTGTTTACGACCAGACGGGGGCGCGTATTATTATTATGGTTAATGCGCCCGCAGTACCAACCAAGGGCGATCGCCGGTCCCGAATCGCAAACCATCTGCAACAATCGGCAAATGCTCGGCCGCGTCGACGCTCGGCCGCGTCGCCGCTCGGCGGCGTCGCCGCTCGGCGACGTCACCGCTCGGCCGCGTCACCGGTGGCGATGGCTGCTGCTTTGTGTCATTGCCATATTGGCAATGGTCCGTGGCGGTTACGGCGGTTTGAACGATTGTCTCGGAAACCCGGTCTATTGAGGCTGTGGTTTCGCGTAGAGGCTGCACGCGCACGCACAAAAAACAAAAGAGATCCCCTTTATAGCCTTCACAGACTGTTGGGGCAAGTGCTGTTAGCGAGCACCTGTGAAGGCCGGCACGGCACGGCACACAAGAGGGTGGATGGCCAGCACCACGCCCCGCCACCTTTTTCTCCCCGGTGGTGATGTTTACACACCTCGCCAAGTTCTGCTTTTTCAGGCTGAACCGACCTAGGGAGGAGGCCCATGATCATTTCAGATAATCCTCACCTGGTGTCGGTGGCCGTGAGCGGTGAATCGAACTCGGGTCACGCACGCGCGCGCACACACGAACATGACTCTCCGTGGAGGGAGACGCAGCAGGCAAGACTGACGAGCCGGGTGACCTCTGTGACCTCCCGCAGCGGACAACGGCCTGAACCCCGTGTGGACTCCCAAGGTGGCCCCGACGGTGTTCGACGTCAACAACCCCGAGTTCTCGTTCCTGCGCTTCGTGGTGTACGAGGAGGACATGTTCAGTGATCCCAACTTCCTGGCGCAGGCGACGTTCCCCATCAAGGGGCTCAAGCCGGGTACGTTGGGGGGCGGGGGGCGGGGGGGTGGGGTGGGGGTGGCGCCCAACCGAGTTTGCGCTGCTGCCCACGATGAGGCCGTAGAGGAGAGTGGTCACGTGACTTGTGTGTGGTCGTCATAAGCCCCTGTGGCATTTTAAACCGATAAACACGTTTTTATTTTATTCGACCAGGTAAGGCCCACTGAGCTATGAAGCTCTTTCTTTTTCGGATGCGACCTCGCCACAAATGATAGCTCAACAAATTGGCTATATCACGTGGAAATTTAAAGCAGCCAAATACTCCTAAGCGCATGTTCATTATAAACGTGGAGTGAAAAACCAGAGGTGCCGGAGAAAAATCCACATGACCACGGAGGTCGCGTGGACATTCAAACTCCAAATATACAGCAGGCGTCAGGGTCGATATCGAACCCACGACCTCCTGTATACCAAGCGAGGTAGTTAACATCTCCTAGCCACCGTGGCGCTATTTAAAGGCAGGAGGATGAAAACGCCCCGAGCCTGAACTGGAAGAGAGGCAGGCAGTCGACAGCACGGACGGATGGGGGAATGGAGTTTCAGACGACGGGGGCAGCAGAGGAGAATGAGCGCCCTCCCAATCGGCGAAGGTTGACTGGGTGCTTCGACACAATGCCTTGGTTGCCGGAGCGATGCGTGGAGATAAGAGGGGAGAGGTAGGAGAGTGTGTGGAGGGGAGTAAGTGAGATGAGAGGGGAAGAGGTAGGAGAGTGCATGGAGGGGAGTAGAGTGAGATGAGGAGATAGGTTGGTCGTGGGAAGTCCATGTAGGATTTTGGAAAACTGTGAGTGTGCGATCTTAACATTGTTCCAGGATCGTATCAGTAGCCATTTTCATCGATTGGAGTATGGGGTGACGTGGTTTGGGGGAGGCCGTGGAGGGGGGGGAGCTGCAGTAGCCGAGGTCGGGATGCTCTGAAGGCGACGATGAGGAGGGGGCCTCGAGCTGGGGGATGGGAAGCGGGAGATGTGGGAGATGCCGCGGAGTTTCTTGAGAAGCCTCATCGGCGACACGCGTCGAGCGACAACGCACGCCCACCGTGACGTCTAGACCGCGCAGGGCACGACCGCGGCCACAGGCTCGGTCCCTCCCGTCATGCCTTGCGCCGTCGCGCGTCGTCGCCGGCCCCGCGTGTGCGCGTGCGTCCAAGTTTGTGTGCATCATGCGCTCAGCCTTGTACGGGGACCGGCCCTTAACCGCTCGCTGCTCTCCCGCTGCAGGGTACCGCTCGGTGCCGCTGAAGAACAGCTACAGCGAGGAGCTGGAGCTCGCCTCGCTGCTCATTCACATCGACGTCACCAACGCGAAGGTGACGGCTGGCTCGGCCCCGCCGCCGCCGGCGCCGGCAGCGCCGCGGCTCCCGTCGGGCGGTGGGCGAGCGCGTGGCTCTCGAGCGACGGACGGACGTTCCCCACGGTCGACGGAGACCGACGGATTCCGCTTCTCCGTTCGTACGGAGAGGCGTTGATTTCCGTCCATAGTAAAGGGGTTTTCTTGGGTTAGATCGCATCGTTAAACCCGCCAATTCACTCGACACAGCCAATTGGTAAGGTTTGTCACGTACACAAAACATGCCAATTAGTTACTACTTGGGCACACCGGTGTGTCGGAGAGTAAACCCACAACATGTACAATTCGAGTACGACGTTTCCCTGGCGATTACGACCAGCTTCATCACAATTTATATTCACGTGATCTAACCCAAATTTTTTTTATTATTATCAATGATGTTGGTCGCGAAAGGGGTGCTAAGCTGATTTTAGAGTTTGTGTGGAGGTCGGTGAGCCAGCGAAAGGCTTCGCAAGCAGCGTCGTGGCGAAATACCCGAAACACTGCCAGCGAGTGATCGAAGCAGCCGGTGGGCGGTGACTGTAATGGTCCACGCTTTGTTTCACGGAGACCGCCGTGTAGATTCGTAGGGTTGCGTAGAAATCCACAGACTCGTAGCGACACTCGTGGACTCGCGCGTGCGCACATACCTGGTGAATATCCGAAAAATGCTGCCGGCGATTGGATCGAAGCGGGTGGTAGCATTACTAAGGCAGACGATACCGGTCGGTGAAACGTGGCGAGAAGCGCCGTCGTCATCACCTTTGCGCTGGAAGATTTCCGCAAAGACGAAACGTGCGAAATGTATTTATTTTACTCATTAACTGAACTAAAACTAATATTTTTATTTTACCAGGTGAGGCCCCACTGAGCTCAAATGATAGCCTAACGAAGTGGCTTAACATCATGTGGAAATTTATAGCAGCCAGATACCTGGAGAACAATCCACGTGACCCACTGGGTGAACACACAAACTCCAAATATACAGCAGGTATCAGGGTCAGGATCAAACCCACGACCTCCTGTATACCAAGCGAGGTAGTTAACGTCTCGCCACCGTGGCACCATTTAAAGGCAGGAGGATGAAAAGTCCCCGAGCCTGAACTGGAAGAGAGGCAGGCAGTCGACAGCACGGACGGCTAGGGGAATGGAGTTTCAGACGACGGGGGCAGCAGAGGAGAATGAGCGACCTCCCAATGTGGAGGGAAAAACCGGAGGACCCGGAGATAAAGCCACGCAATCAAGGGGAGAGAGAGAGAGACATGCAAACAATTGGCAAAGCGTCCTGTAAAGGGCGTTGGTAACAGAGCGGTTAGGAAGAGCTTAGGGGGGGCAAGTGGACGTGCTCCCGAACCGCAGCACCGACTCTCGCCCCTCCCGCTCCGCCGCGCAGGAGGAGGGCGAGGACGACCTCTACTCGTCGATCCAGCGGCTGCGCGACCGCACCACGGAGCTGCGGGGGCAGCTGGCGGCGCTGGAGGGCGGCAGCAACGGCGGCGGCGGCGGCAGCAACGGCGGCAGCAACGGTGGCGGCGGCGGGACTAACGGACGAGCGGCGGACTCGTCCTTTGACGCGCGCTATCGGCACTACCAGCAGCAGCTGGACGAGCTGAGAGCCACGCAGGAGCAACTGGTGCAGCTCACGGAGGAGAGGAACACTAGGTACGACCACGGCTGCGGTTGTTGTTGTTGTCGTTGCGGCTGTCAACTCAGCCGGGGTGCCTGAGCCCTGGTTTCCTTGCAGCGGGCCGTGGAATAATATTGGGGGGGAGGGGGGGGGCACGTGATGCCATACGTGTAGCGTTGTGACGTAGCGTTGTGACGTCACGACGCCCGTACACGTGACCGCTTCATCTTTACCTCTCGTCTCCAGCTGTCTCATCTCGATTGCTCGTTCACCTTGCGTCTCGCTAATGTAGGATAAAGACAGAAGTCAAAAACTACAGTTGGGCATAGGAGTCGCCGAGATGAGATGAAAGGTGTTCCAAGTTTGTAGGCCATATGTATGTAATGATGCATGTTAAACTTCTTTCGCACCGTATGTAGCAACCGTGCTAATCGGAGGTGCACCCAGTAAATGCAAATCCTCCGTTATGCTCAGAATAGGTTTTACCCTTTCTGGCAATAAAACAGTTGTGTTCCGATGTTAAAACACCAAACGGAAACCTTTTTCAAGGAATCATGTCTGCATTAACCGCATAAACTTGTGATGAACATGCAAACAAAAAACAAGCTCTGATAGTATAGTATATACATTGTCTTTGAAACTGATTGGTCCACACCAGAGACAGCTTTCTTTAGAGCCTAGTCGCAAACCTCTGGTCTAACTCGTGACGGAACCGACGCACGCCCGCGTGCGTGTGACGTTCTTCCCGGGAGCTGCCGGAGCTTTTCGCATCTTCGCTCCCCGTTATTATCTACGCAGCCCGATACAATCCCATAGCCAGGCCTAAATTAGCACGTTCCTCCCAGCTCTCCCATCTCCCCCCCCCCCCCCCCCAGGGGGAGGAAAACGCTGCCTGGTGCGATTTTTTTTTTTAACTACGCAAAACGTTTCGGACAGGCGACGCGTCACATCGCCCCCGCGGTTGTGAGTTAGCTGACGCGGGTACGGCCGTCGCTGGTCTCAAACCTCCGCTCTAACACTGTTAAAGACTAGGCTCTCAAGAAAGCCGTCTCTAGTGTGGACCAATCCGTTTCAAAGACAATGCATATATTGTCAGAGCATGTTTTTTGTTCGCATGTTCACCACAAGTATGTGTGGTGGTTGCAGACATGATTCCTTGCAAAAAGGTTTCTGTTTGGTGTTTTAACATCTTAACACAACTGTTTTGTTGCCAGAATGGCTAACACCTACTCTTATATTTCGATACTGGCAAGGGGTGGGGGGAGGTACCATTAGATGTATCTCCATTATTCCTAAATCGTTATCTCGGGCCACTCCGTGCCACCCTGGGCCAGATGTGGCCCACCACACTGCCACCTACCTTGGTTGTTTGTGACTGTCGTCACCATGACCATCACCGGTTTGTGCTAATTCTCCGCGCAGGTTGAGAGAGAAGAAGGAAGACCGTCGGAGGCGAGAAATTACCAATCAGGCTCGCAGAGGATTCTAAACAAACAGCAAACAAAGGCTGGCGCGGACGTTGCTGCCGAACATCCTCCAACCAACCTTCGCGAACGCAACCTGTGAGCGCAAAGAGCTGGCGGGTGCGGCCTTTGCGCGCCGGGTGCCCGCGAAGAGAATCGGGCAAAGGAAAGAAACGGAGAGGGAGAAAGAAAACAACGGGCCGAGCGACGTCGCCGTCACCGTGGCGGCAAGCCGGGAGTTGCACGAACGCGACGAGGGCTCGGCATTCGTTTCACCACCGACCGCCTTGACCAAACGCATAGTCACCCCCCCCCCTCTCCCCACGCCTGCGGGGGAAGAGGGGGTGGTGGGGAGGGAGCCGTACGGGGGGTCACATCATCATCATCGGGAGCGTCTTCACCGCCGATCGGCCTTCGGTCACCCGGCGCTCCGGCCCGCGGCGGCTGCCGTTGTGGGCGTCCGTGCCTCTTTACTCCTCCGGTGCCTTTCCCTTACAGAAAAGAAAAATTCACACCAGGGTGCTTTCACGCTCGCCGTGGTTTGCGACGCTGCTCGGGGTTGTGGGGGCGGTGGGTGGGCAGCCAAAAAGAGCTCGGGACGGAACCGACGCACGCCCGCGTGCGTGTGACGTTCTTCCCGGGAGCTGCCGGAGCTTTTCGCATCTTCGCTTTCCGTTATTATCTACGCAGCCCGATACCATCACGTAGCCAGGCCTAAATTAGCATGTTCCTCCCAGCTCTCCCATCTCTCCCCCCCCCCCCCCCCCCCCCCCACCGCGGGGAGGAAAACGCCGCTCGGTGCAATTTTTTTACTTCGTGAAACGTTTCAGGCAGGCGCCGCGTCGCATCACGGGCATCACCCCCGCGGCTGTGAGTTAGCTGACGCGGTACGGCCGTCACTGGTCCCCCACGGTTGGGCACGCTCGTTCTCGCAACTGCGCGGGAGAAGACGCGCACAGCTGGGCCGGGCGCACGCCTCCTCTGAACGTTCCCCGCCCCCCTCCGAGATCGGGCGATGGGCAGCGCTTGGACCGCCCTCCCGCCTCTCCGCGTATCGGCAGCGTAGCAAAGCCGTTGTGTGCCCAACGCGCCCGCGTGCGCACGCACTGTGAGCCCTGCCGCTTCTGTCTCGTTGCCGGGAGTGGCGCGGAGAGGGGGGGCGGAGACAGTTTTAGGTTTTCAGTTTTGTAAAAAGCTTGATTTGTTCAGCTTTTTTTTCTTTGCCTTTTCTTACCGTCTTACGAATGTAACGCTGGTAGCTCGGTGGTGGTGCGAGCTCGTCGGTGGTGGTGCGAGCTCGTCGGTGGTGGTGGTGGCGTTGTGAGGACGAGATCTTTCGGGACCAAAACACGGGTCTCTTGTTCGAGGAGAAACGGAGAAGGGGGGGAGCGGAGGAGAGGCGGTGAGTGGATCGGGGGAGTGGGGGGGAAGGTGGCGTTCGGGACCCCCAGGAAGATGAACCTTGGCGTGACCTAACGTTACCGAACGTATTTATTCGTGCGTTGTGCAAGCGTCTGGCGAACGCTCGGGCTTTGGTTGAGCTGAGGTCGGCTTCAAACCGAGCCCCGGAGAGAAGGAAAGAAAAAATAAGGTAATAATTTTAACTTAAATTAACCTTTGCATGCTTACCGTGCCCAAACAGTGACGCATTAAAAGGGGGGACGACAGCGCCGTGATTGGGGAGTTTTAAACATCTCTATGTGCGGTGTATTATTCCTATTATCATCATGAGGCTACGGTTATTTATTTATTTTAAATAATCGGACGACTTCAATGCAGACACTAAAAAAACGGGGATGAGTTCGCTACCCCTGGTAATTTCCTTTTTTATTTATGTTGTTGGCGTCTGAACCGGATCGTGGGCCGTCCGTATGCCGAGCGCTTGACCTTCGGCGAACGCGGTGCAAACGTTTGGTGGTGGGGGGGGTGCGGGGGGGAATGGTGCGGGGGGGGGGGCCATGAATATCTCTCAGCCCAAACAGATCCAGCCCACACACGAACCTCTTAAGGCACGGAATTGATCATTATAAACACGCGCACAATTATCTCTGACTCCGAGAGTAGAGAGCGATTCGAGGGAAACCACAAACGATGATGGCGGCCAGAACCGCCATCAACGATTGCCCGAGGTCTGCGATTCTATATTGGGATGTTTGGCCGCGGTGGAAAGATGTTACCTATCTCGCCTGGTATACAGGAGGTCGTGGGTTCGATCCTGACCCTGACGCCTGCTGTATATTTGGAGTTTGCGTGTCTCTCTCCCCGTGGTCACGTGTATATATCTCCGCGTCCTCTGGTATTTCCCTCCACATTGAGAATGAACGTGCGTTTAGAGTCTTTGGCTGCTATGCATTTCCACGTGAAAAGTCGCTTCATTGGTCTGTCATTTGTGATAACCAGGTCACTTTAAAAAAAATTGCTATATAACTCGGTGGGCCTTACCTGGTAAAATAAAAATAGGCTTTTAAAAAATATTTAATAGAGCGCAGACCAGGCATAAATTATGCTTAACTCTGCAAACCCTAAAGTTGGGCGGGGGGGGGGGCGGCCTGATCGGCCTGGTGCATAGTTTGGGCCCCTCACAAGTGGCCGCCCGCTGATTGGTGTCTTTGTCGCAATCTAAATGCCACGGTTTTGGAGGCCTCAATGAGGCCTGAATGAGGCCTCAATGAGGAGGCCTGAATGAGGAGGCCTCAATGAGGAGGCCTCAATGAGGAGGCCTGAATGAGGAGGCCTCAATGAGGAGGCCTGAATGAGGAGGCCTCAATGAGGAGGCCTGAATGAGGAGGCCTCAATGAGGAGGCCTGAATGTCACGGTTGAGGAGGCCTAAATGGGTGCCACTACTGATCGCAACACGGGGCCAACGGGCGCGTCACCGAGCAAACCGCTTTTTAAAGCAACTTTAAAAGGGTTTTTTTAATATTCCTGTTCCGTAAAAAAACATGGACTAAACGGCAAAGAGGAGAACCTTTTTCCATTGCACGAAGGCATCACAACGGACGCCGGCGCTCGGGCTCGCATCTCTCCTCCTAACCTCAATCTCTCGTCTTTTCTTAACGAAAAAACTGAAAAAAACATTGCAGAAGCTACGATAAAGTGTGCGTTTGTTCAACGGAGAATCTCAACGGCGTCGTTTCCGTGCGCGTTTTGGTGGTTGCGCTGCACGGCTCTCCGACGAGTTGGCACTTGCACGAGCTCGCGTGTCCGTAGCCCGTTGTGTCGTCGTCGTCGTCAATAGTTCCCGTCGTCGCAACCAAAAAGTCGCTCTGCGATTTAACGAACGCCGACCAGCACTGCCGTGCGCTCGACGATGTGCGGTGTTCGGGGACCAGGAAACTGTCCGCCGCTCGGAGTCGGTTCCAATGTCACGAGTGCATCTTAAAGCATTACGAGTTTCAGATAAACAGGAGAACACTAGGAAGTACACTACAACATTGATGACGCACGAGTTGTATGTTAAAGATTCCGGGGGAAAAGGAGGCCAAGAAACGCCAACTTGGCACCGCTGATGTGACGGTGTTCGGTTTCGGTCCGCGAACATTGGACGCGCCGTGGGCCTTAAGACGTTACTTCGTTCCCCACTTTTGAATCGCCGTAAAACTGACAAAATTGTGTTCTCCTTTCCAGGTCAAGCCAGGTTGAGCCGTTCGGTTGAGCTTTGCCTACGTGTGTGCATTCTGAAGTGGCACGGTTCGGCTACGCGGACGCTGCGTGTTTGTGAGTACCGCTTTGTGGGAAGTCGTCGGCGGTTGTGTCTACCATTTAAGGAGTGCGCTTGAGCCATAAGAAGGTGGAATTTCCCCCCCCCACCTGGCTGCAGACGGAGATGAGCAGTGTATTGCCCCCAAACCCGCGTGAGGAACGGGGAGACGATTTCACTGCCAACGGCGTCTTAGCAGAAAGGTGGCGGCACGTGGATAACGTTAAACGTCTCCACGAGGGTAAGGCCCCGTGTGATTGAAATGCCCCCCCCCCCTCCTTGCAACACCCCAAGGGTAACGCGTCGCCGACGAGCGTGAGTTTACGTTTTACATTCCACAGCTGTGGTCTTGGGCAAAACTAAAAAAAAGCTAAGCACTTATCTGTTTGTAAAAAGAAAAAAATTGTTTCGAAATGTTTGCATCGGGGCGTAAACACCTCGTTGGGAAGAGCGCACAGCCCCCCGCCCACAGTCGCGGCTGTGGGTTACCCGGCGGTCACAGAACGGCGACCCGTCTGCGGAGACTCGTGCCCGCGTGCGTGCGATCCGAACGGAGCGGCCACCGCCTCGTCGGAGACTGATGGCGTTTTAAACCCCCCGCTTCGTGCTCCACTGTCGTCACTGGACGGCTATTCGACGCGTAACGTGCGAGCGCCCACGAAATGAATACGCTCGTGCAAATTGTGGCGTTTTTGCAACCACACTTGGAGGGGTTCCATAAGAGCCATAAAACTCCGTCAAACCAAAAACGAACTTTGGTTTTGCTTTTAATAGTTTGTGCGCGAAAGGGTCAAATATCCTTTCTGTCATGTCAGCCTCTGGAGCTATGCAGTTCTAAGATGAAGATCTCTTGGAGGAGGGGGGGGGGGACAGTGAGCTACTGAGCGGAAAGGTTGTCTGACCTTGCGCCGTAGTTTTCCGACGACACGTAATTACAACTACACCCTGCGACTTTACCCCCCTTCATGAAAAACAATCGCACACCAAGCTGTGTGTGTGTGTTTTAGCGTACATGTATGTCATCGGTCTCCTTTCCGATTCCATTCCGTGTAGGTACACGGTACGTCATCGGAAGAAAAAGGCCATGCGGGAAGGGCGTGTGGCACAGTTTTGCACCAGCTATCAGTTCTCTGTGGTGAGCACAATGTCTTTTAAAAAAACGGCGCTATGCCGCCTCTACATAATATTAACGCTGAACCGCTCGCGCGTTCCGAGATTCGGTGTTGAATGGGACACCCACAACCCTGCAACTTGCAGACGTCTCTGAGCGGGACGGGGTTAAGAGGTCTGTTTGATTGGTAGTGTTCAACGCTGAAACAAACGCTCGGTCCGTGTGGCATGGTCGATGCCCCCGGCCACTAAGGAGTTAAGCATTGAGCAGGGTTTTCTCCTAAGCGCGCACGCGTCGAAAACTTGCTGCGTTTAATGACCCTGGTCGAGTAATTCGCGGAAGTGTCCTATAAACGGGAATGGCTTTAACGTCTCTCAGACGTCACGATGAGTTGCAAGTGAAGAGATAAGGGTAAAAAAAAAGCCTCACCCCATTATCATTCAGTTGCAGTCGTAAAAATGTTATCTCTTCACGACACACGGGTACAGGTTGGAGTTTGTGTTTCGGCACGGGTAGCGTTACGATCCGGAAGGTGGCCGCCAGCTTTTATTTGCTATCGATTTCAAATGGGGAAGGTGTTTTGCGTGGACCCAGTCTTGGATGCCAGGGAGGCGTCTGTGAACCTATGACAATGTTAATTACTACTTGACGTATCCTCAACTCAGGGATCGCACTGACGCCGACTGTTGTACCGAGTGCTTGGATGCAAAATGTTTCCATCTGGGGAACTATTGATAACACCCCACCTCACCTGTGCATGCCGATAGATTTAGCTTACTGCCGTCCGGCCTTGCTCGGCGAAGGCTTCCTCGCTTCCGTGTAAGTCACGAGAGTTGTTTGGCCATAGTTCGTGCTGGTTGCTAAAGGGGTAATGCCTTGGAACACTTCATACATTTACTCGCCCCTGTGATGTTAGCCGTGGCGATGGTTCGAACTCAGGTCGCCAGGTGGATGGCACGCTGCGCTAACCTCTGGGCCGCTTCACTCACACCTACATGCCGAGCGTGGGCATCCCTCAATCGCTTTATCCACAGTGGTTTGGCAAATGCAACACCGCGGACACGTTTGTGTTGCACATGGTAGGGCACGACTTTGGTGTGCGTTTAACGTGAAATTTTATTTGAAAAACGACATGACCGTGTGTCCTGCAAGGATCTGCTCGAGTGTGTAGAATATCGAATTCAAAGAGTGAATTCTGCTGGATGGCAAGCGACACTGATGGTCGAACAACTCCACCCTGGAAAGGTACCCGCGGCAGCCATTTTGTCAATCCACTGCTGGATGAGGGCCTCCTCACACCTCGCACTGCATGGGCCGTGATGACGGTTTACCTGACCGCGATTGGCCACGCCGATCGGCGCGGTTTTTCGCGTAGACGGGCGTGGGAGCACGGACGTGTGATAGTACGATGCCCACCACTGCATACGACCGAGGCCCACTGTGCTCAATACTGGCGGTGTAGGCCACTGTGGCGGAGGGGCGGGGGGCTACCTGTGCTACGGCCCTGGAAATGTACTCGCCAAAAAAAAATATATAACAGTCCTGCGATGGTTGCGTTTTGCGTCCTGTTCAGACGGTGTTTCTCTATCTTGCACTTTACCTTGTCGATCCTCCTTCGAATGTTTTAGCGACGCGGAGGCAGCATCGCTGTGCTCCAGTACAATCCTCGGCGCACGCGGAGAGAGACCCAGCAGTGCGGTGTCCCCAAAAAACCCCACCGACACCGAGCGCGGACATTTATATTCTCTTCACTACCCAGCCTAACCTCTTGCTGCTGTCTTTTTTGTAGCGCTCGCTTGCGAAGCTGCGGCCGCGACTCAGCCGCTCGTAAAACGGAGCTGTCGGGTAGGGGACCGTTCACCGCTACTCGGGGTCGTGGAGCAAACGCCTCGCGACCCTGCCAGTAATAATCGCTCGTACAACCCAGGAAAACCACACGGCAGTCCGGAGCCTCTCTTTCAAAGAGGGTCCTGCCACTGGGATGTTTGTCCGACGCCAGTGACATTGAACGTTTTGAGCTGTGGGAGGCAATCGGAGAACTTGGAGGAAACCCAAGCAGAATGGGGGGGGGGGGTTGGGGAATACAAACTCCGCACACAAGGCGCCCAAAATCGGTAATATAACCCAGCATCCTTGCTGTGCTGTGAGAGGCACCCGCACTGTGCTAGCCTGCCAATGACAGCTCAAGTTGACGCGGGAAGTCGATAACGTTCCATTGACGTGCGGGTGTGCTAGTAGCCGGTGGCAGTGAAACTGACCTCGCCGGACGCCCCCCCACCCCCCACACACACGAAATTTTGCCTGCACTGCAGTTTGGCTCGCGATGAGGAGGTGCTTGCGCTGCTACTAATGTTAAACTACCCCCCCCCGCTCTGGAGGAGCGCTGCAACCCGTCGGTAGCCCGAACCCCATCGCCCAATTCCATCCCAATCCAGGATCCCCTTCGTCTCCACGCCCTACAGTTTATTTATGGCATGGCCGTTAACACAACCATAGTAACCACCACCCCCCGCCCCCCAAAGTGGGTTCTGCTTGGTCGCAGGAGTGTTTTCATTACAGGGAATCTCGGCAGCCTCCCGATTTAAGGCGGCGAACCTAGCGGAGGTCATGAACGCAATTTACTGCCCCTCGCCACTTCATCGACGGCTTGGAATTTTTTTTTTGGACGGTCGCTCCGGAAGGAACCGCCATCAACACGCAGCAGCGCCTTCCCGTAACCTTGCCTGTGTATGTTTCACTCTGTGCTGCTGTGCGCAAGTATGGCAAGGGTGGACCCCAGCTCTCAAGGCTAGGTGGCAGCCAGTCAAGAACAACGGTGATAGAACGATCGCACAAAATGCTTCGTAAAAAACGCCGTGCGAGGACCGACGGAAGACGTCCCGGGCTCTTGCACGGACACGCGGCTGTTAGGAGACCAAAATAAGCGACCTCTCGTGTTGAAAGGACTCGGCGTTGTTAAAGATTTTTAGGTTTTAATTTTACAGTGCGACCCGACCCTCTCCCACCACCCCCCCCCCGCCCCCTGCAAGTCCATTGCAGTTACATTTTTACAGCTTTCACTGCCTTTTGATTTATTGCGTAATTTTTTAACCATGTATTTGTCAAACCGCTGCCGAGGTTCAGTTGCGTTTATTACTTTAAAACAGTCGTTAATAAACTACGTTGTGTCGCTTTTTATATTGTTTCCCACCCCCCCCTTAATTTTTTCAAGTGTCATCTTTGTAGACTACAACCTGGCTCCATGTAGGCATGTCACATTGCTCTCTGTTTATCCATATCGATGATGTAATTTCCAATAAAACATTTACTTCCAGCAGATGCCGAGTGGTCTTTATTGTGGACATACAAACACCCAAAGCCCATTGTTTTCTTTTAACAGCAATAATACAAGCCCCTCAAAATTAATTGGAATGAAATGTTTTTTTTTCACCAAGGTTTCCTGGAAATGTCCAACGATGCGGGCAAGTGGAGTCTCCATCTCGGTTCAGCATCACTCCAGATTTATCTCACTCTTAACTATTGAAACTATTTTGTTTGTATTTTAACAGGTAAGGCCCACCTTTCAGAAGCGACCTGGCCATCACAAATGATAGGCCAATGAAGTGGCTTATGTGGAAATGTATAGCAGCCGAATACTCTAAATGCATGTTTTTTTTTTTTTAAATGGGGAGGGACAAACCGGAGGGACCTGGAGAAAGATCCACGCGACCACGGGGAGAGACACACAAACTCCAAATATACAGGTGTCAGGGTCGGGATCGAAACCACGACCAACTGTATACCAGGCGAGGTAATTAACATCTCATCACCATGGCGCCCCATTAATTCAACAGCACCCACATCGTCGTCCCTTAATTATTCCCCGTCGTGCTAAAGGGCGGCGCGCAGGAGAGGAGCATTCCACTGAATCGGAGAAATGTCCACCGGAAGAGATGGCGGAGGGACGTGATTACCCAGCAGTCTCAAATTTTATATTGCGCGGTAGCAGAATGCGCCGCACTGGAATGCAAGTAACGCGAGCGTTATTCTTTTGGTGCACTGTGGGGCTACGTTGTGGGCAGCAGAGGGCAGTCCAGCACTCCCACGTCTATGCTCCCCCACCCCCACCTTTCACAAACCTGCACTGATCGGCGCTACTGAAAGTGTTGCAAAAAGTCACGTAGAGACTTTTCATTACCCGTGGATCATCCTTGCCCAAAACGTCAGCTGTCCAAAAGCGCGGTGGTGACGGTCGGAAGAAACGCCAAAACCAGCGCGGCGAAAATGGCGACGAGCACCAGGTCTCGAAGCACGGGGCCGAAGCGGCCATGCCGCCGCCGCTGCTGCTGCTGGCGCCGCCGCTTCCCGTGCCCGCGCTGCCGGAACCACTCGACCACTTCGCCGAACTCCTTCTCGGCGGGCGCGTATCCCAGCTCCCGGCGCGCTTTGCCCACGCTGAAGTGGTGCGTCACGCCCGTCTTGTACACCTCGGCGCGCGTCAGCAGCGGCTGGAAGTCGACGGCCCACCCAACGGCCGCGTGCAGCAACTCGGTGAGAAACGCGACGGCGTACACGACGAGCAGGGGCAGCCGCGCGCGCGGGAATTCGTACCCGAGCCCCTCGACGAGCGGCCGGAAGAACTCGAAGTTGTTGACGGGCCTGCCGTCCGACACGAAGTAGGCCTGCCCGCCGGCGGGGCTGCCCCTGCCGGCGCGGAGGGCGTCGGCCGCGAGCGCGTGGGCGTCCACCAGGTTGTCGACGTGCACAAAGTCGACGCGGCTGTCGGGCCGGCCGTACACGAACGCGAAGAGGCCGCGCTCGATGTAGCTCACGACGCGCGGCAGGTGGCGCCGCTCGCCGGGGCCGTAGATCCCCGCGGGCCGCAGGGCGCACGTGCGGAGCGCGCCGGGCCGGTGGGAGGCCAGGGCGCTGCCGTCGGCGCGCAGCACCGCCATCTCGGCGACGGCCTTGGTGCGCGAGTAGTTGTCCGGGTGCTTGTGCAGGGGCAGGTAGGGGAGGGACTCGTCGCCGTTCTCGATGACCTGCGCGACGACAGCATGCGAGCAGGTGGGAGACAGCGGGTTGACCACGATCGGGTTTACTGTTTCTAATTATTTAACTTTATTTTATTTAATCCATAACAGGTTTTTTTTTTGGTTAGATCGCGTAAATGCGGGGTGGTTACTTACATGGGTCTATCGTTTTTTTATGGAAAAATAACGGATACACTATAACATGATACTAAATGGATTTCAATAGCTTCAAAAAGTTAGTCTCCACTTGTTCGCCATCATTGTCAACACATGCCTGGAATCTTGTCCAGGTGGTTCTCAGAGCCAAGAGTTACATTTCACGTGGTAATGTTGCAAATTCTCGGAAGTATTAACATTTTTATGAAGCGCCCTGTATATGTTTCGTTAAACCCGCCATCACCCGACAGCCGATTAGTAAAGGTTTGTCACAAACAGAACATGCCAATTCGTTAGTAGTGTAGTGTCTTGAGATTACTCACACTGACACGGAGTAACAGGTCACCGGCTTATACTTTATTAATCCTACTCTCGCACCCATTGTAGGCACTCCTATGACTGCCTTCCACTGTCACTACGCACTCTGCTTCTCCTGCTACCCGCTCTCATCTACTCCGCACCTCACCCACTCTGCATCTCGCTTACTCTGCATCTCGCCTACGCTCTCCTATCTCGCCACTGCCCTCTCCCCACTCACCCGTCTGTCCCGGGCGGGGGGTTCAGCCAACATCCGCCCGGTCGACGGCGTGAGGGGGCAAGGTCCCGTTGACGGCTCAAGCGGCAGCGGCGAGATGTCTTCTCTCTTGGTCCCCGAACAACTCAACTCTGTTCACACACACTCCCGCTTATATACCCCTCCTCATTCCGAGTCCGCACGTGCTCCCCACTTAAGCTGTCGCCTCCACGGCGCCTCTCGCACTCATTCATCCCTACTCATCGCCCCCATCTCACGTCTCTCCGGCGCCAACCTCCTGCCCCAACGCGCACACCTGCTCGTCCTCGATTGCACCCGCTTCTCCCCTTAATTACTGTCGGCTCTCCGGCGCCAACATCATGCTCCAATGCGCACACCTGTTCGTCCTCAATTGCACCCGCTCATCTGCGCACACTGCGCACATCTGTACTCTACACTAGTACAGCATCACCGGTGTGTTGGAGAGCAAAGCCACAACATTTACAATCTGAGTACGACTTTTTGCCAGTAATTACAACCAGCTTCATCAGGCGACAGCCAGATTTGTGGAGAAATCCTCCTGTTTCGTTCCAGAGGGGTGGATGTGATGACGTCACTTGTGAACCCTTCCTGAGCGAAGTGGGGGGGATTAATGAATGCATATAAATGATGATGGGTAACCATTGCCGGTTGGGTTATTTTATATAATCAACGTACATTATGCATGCGCATTATACCAGGTAAGGCCCACTGAGCTCTATGGCTGTTTTTCGGAAGCGACCTGCTATCACCAATGATAGCTCAACCAAGTGGCTTGTCGTCACGTGGAAATGTATTGCAGCCAAATAACTCTAAACGCGTGACGTTGATTTTAAATGCGGAGGGGAAAAACCGGAGGACCTGGAGAAAAATCCACACGACCACAGGGGAGAGACGTGCAAACTCCAAATATACAGGCGTCGGAGTCAGGATCGATCCCACGACCACCTATATACCAGGCGAGGCAGTTAACACTGAGGTTCACCGATCACTTCAGCTACCTCGGTGTCATCCTAGATTCAACTTTATCCTTCGACCGTCAAACCAATCATATCATCAGTTCATGTACCTTTCACCCAAAGGCTCTCAGACACCCACGTCCTCTCATCTCCACTGAAACTGCCAACACATTGGCATGTTGCATAGTTGGGTCTCACCTCGACGATTGCAACTCCGTCCTAGTCCGGTCCTCCTCTGGCAACCTAAAACAACTTCAAAGACTACAAAACAACCTGGCACGCGTCGTCATTGGCCGCACTCATCCCCGTCTCGACTCACTTGCCTCTCTCTCCGTGCCCTCCACTGGCTACCCATGGGCAGCAGGGTCACATGCAAGATCGCCTGCCACTGCCACCACGCCTTCACATCTGCCTGCCCCCCGTACCGCTCTTCATTATTGACGACTTGCAGCACAGCACACTGCAGATGCCTTCGCAGTGCGACTCACGACATCTTGATACCAAGATCCAGGACGGTCACGTCTATGCGCCGCTTCTCCGTGGCTGCCCCAACAGTCTGGAACGCTGTCCCTCTGCACATTCGCAGCATCACCTCAATCGTCTCCTTCAAGAGACACTTAAAAACTCACCTCTACAACCACGCTTTCGAGCGACTCTGAGCTTGGCTCCACGCCTCCGAGTTGGGGCCGTTACGTCCGCAAATTTGCGCGCGTTATAAATTGCATTATTATTATTATTATGTGTTCAGTGTGCCACACCTGCCCGCCAAACACGACGTTGTAGGTGCTGGTGTACACGAGGCGCGGCACGCAGGCGCTCACGCATGCACGCAGCACGGCTTCCGTGCCGCCCACGTTCACATCCTCGATCCGGCGACGCTTCAGCTGCTCGCGGCCAGACATGCCGAACGATGCCGTGTGGAACACGCAGTCCGCACCTGCGCGCGCACACATACAAAGATCCCCCGTATAGCTTCAACAGACTGTTGGGGCGAGTGCTGTTAGCGAGCACCTATGAAGGCCGGCAACGGCACATGAGGGGATGGATGGCCAACACCACGCCCAGCGGCATTGTTTACGCACCGCACCGAGTACTCATTTGAGGTTGAATTGACCTAGAGGAGGCCCACGGCCGTTTCGGATAATCGTCACTGGTGTTGGCTGTCAGCGGGAATCGAACTCGGGTGGCCGGGTGCGTAGCGCAGCGCACTAACCGCTACACAACCACTTCGCCCGCATACACACACGCATATACACGGAAAGGGAGGAAATGAACTTGGGCAATGTCGTTGCTTTCTGAACAATACAACGTGAATGTGTCTTCTTACCATGCAGGTGTTCACGGTTATGCTGTACAACTCTCCGATGTGTTTGTTGGATTGTAGCACGTATCGTTAGGCGTCGTGTCCGACGTTTCACTTCACATGCTGGGAGCTTTTTCAGGAACTGATCCTCTGCTTCATGAGGCCTACTGCCCACACGCTCTATTTCTCATTCATTGCACGCATCTTCGCTGCACCAATCGGCTCCCAGAGGGGCACATGTTCGACCTGGCAACAACACCGTTTCTAACGTTAGCGCACTCACTTGCTTCTGGCACTGCAGGGGCCTCTTGCGGGGACAGAAGTAACTGAGGCGATCGTTCAAGTGTCGTTGCCAGCCAAATTCATTCGAGAGTCCTGATCAACAACCCTAGTGATCAGAAGGTATCCCCCACTGTCGATCTATGGGATCAGTTGCCCCATAGATGTGGCTCCAAACCGTCACCGCCACATAGGGCCACCCAGAGGTTCCTGCAGGTCCCATGGCCTGGGGCCCAGTACAGAATGCCAAACGTGGGGTCCTACGTGTTCACGAGTGACCAAGAAAAACCAGGCCACGTTATGGGGCCCCTCTTTTGTGTGCGGCCCGGGGCACCATCAGCAACAACGGGCTGTTAGAGAAGCGAGGGGGGCCGCCCCCAGTGCGGTCGACTCACCGGCGAAGGCCGATTCGAGGCAGCGCTCATCCGTAACGTCGCCCTGGCGGAAGTCGATGCCAGGAGCGAGCGGCACGGACGGTGGCGGCGGCACGAGGTCCAGCAGCAGCACGCGGTGTCCCTGCGCCGCCAGCGCCGCGCCGAGCCTGGCACCGGCGACCCGGGTTAGAGAATCGGAATCTTTCTTTATACTGGAGGAATCTGATGAGCTATAAAGATTTTATTCACAGATGTCCAGTAGGGGCGAGTCAGAACGTTACAACATAAAAACACGATAGTGCACAGTATAGGAAAGGTAAGCAAATCATGAAAAAAAATGTACAACTAAAATGTAACTTTTTTTTTCAAATTAACTTTTTATTTTACCGGATAGAGCCAACTGAGTCGTAAGCTTCTTTTCCAGAAGCAACCTCGCCACAAATGATAGCTCAACGAAAATGGCATGACAATCATGTGGAAATGTATAGCAGTCAAATAATCTAAACAACGCATGTTTCTCAATTGCAAGCGTGGCTTCACACCTGCAATGGCCACGATGGGAAATCCAGGTGGTTTGGCGACGTGTCACAGAGAGAGATTTATCGGAAGGGGAAATCTCTCTCTGTTCTTCCTCATGCTTAATCCACGCTGCCGCTCCTCTCTTCTCGCCCCCCTTCACTGGAACAAACTTCCCCCTCCACATTCAGCGGTCACCTTCACTCACTAATTTCCATTCCTCACTCAAAACTCACTCATTGTTCCCTAGCTCACCCGACGACCGCCTTAATCTCCCCCTCATCACAACAACACCGTTACACGGCTATCACTCATTAACCCCATTCATTCAATCCATTCATCATCATTTACCGGCACCAATTTCGCTTTCACCGATCATCACAGATCCTCCCCCATCGCTTCCTCTCATCTATTTCATTCACCTCATCTCCACCATTACGCCCACACGCGTTGTTATTGTTGTACCGTTAATTCTTTGAAAAGCACCTCGGTTAAAGGCGCTAGATAAATTCCGAGTCTACAGGTGATGGTGATCATTGCGGTGGCGGTTGTGCGGAATGGACTAACCTGCATCCAAAATATCCACCGCCGCCCGTAATCACGAACTTCTCTCCACCGTCCACCTCGGCTGCGCCTTCGGCAATGTCCATGGTGTGGCGTGTGGCAACGGGGATGTCCTGAAATGTATCGAGGACATGCCAACACAGTCATCGCCAAGCAGAAGGTCCACTGCCCTAAACGTCATCTACTGTTTATTTTAATTGTCGGCCGTCAACCAGTGTTATTGATGAACGTGTTGAGGTTTAATTAAAGATTATTTATGTATGCATGATGTACGAGTTTATGTATTTCTAAATGTTTGTATGTATGCCTGCGTTAATGTATGTGTAGTGTCGGTGTGTAGTAGTACACAGTGGGAGACAAGGTAGTTGCAGGAGGCACCTTTTATTTATTACACTATTCCGGGTGTTTACACTCACAGGATCGCCTCCTCTCCCGACCACGTTGCCATAAGCCCTGCCTAGAGCCCTAGACAACAACCCTAACCGCGTTGCACCGACGATGTCGAACCGAGACAACCCACAACTGTCCGGCCGCGCAATTATCGGGCAAAGGCAGCAGCGACGACGAGACGAGTCCTCTCCCAGAACCGGCAGCCCGGAGCTCCCGCTCTCCGCTGCTTTTATTCTACTCGGTGCGGCCTGGCTCTGCCCTGGCCACGCCTCCCTTCTCGAACCCACTAGCGGGGCCTCCCAATGAGGTCTTCCGTGACCCTTGCCCCAGTTACTCCGCCCTGCCGGCACACAGCCGTGTGAGCTTGCGCGAGTTGTTAAGGTGGGGGACCCGGGGTGGTTCGGGGATCAATTGTGACTTGATCATTCAAGGCGTCACAGAGGTGTGTTCCTGCAGAAGAAAGTTGAACGATCGGTACAAGAGGGCTGCGCCGCAAATTCCACAACTCTGGCTCATCGCCTGATGAGGCCGGTTGCTGTAATCTCCAGCGGAAAAATCGAACTCGAGTTGTGAATGTTGCGAGTTAACTCTCCAACGCGCACCCGTGCGATGAAGTCGTCACTACAGTAATGTCATTGCCACGTTTTGTTTACGTGACAAACCTAATTGGCTGCGGCGGGTGGTGGCGGATTTAACAACACGTTTCTATTTACTTACGCGATATAACCACACGACAAAATTACCTTTATTATGCAAAAAAAATCCATTGTACTGTTTTATGCTGCCACGTCTACGGTGCCTTCGCAACCTTTACAACAACCCCCAGTGACTGGGATGGTGAAGTATGGTCAAATAAGTAAGATTTAAAAAAAATTAAAACACGCTTTAATGAAATGTACCGTACTAGCAATGGAAGAATTCCACGACTCCAGGAAGTGGCCCCGAAGCTTGCCCACAACGTAAGGGGACCGTGATCAATTACAGCCAACGTGAGTTGTGTGGGACAATTAGACCAAAGCCGAAACAACATGTAAAAAAAGATTTGTTTAAAAATTTGTATTTGTAATGATAGACTATAGTATTGTCATCAGTATGACATAAATATACCAAGTTTACAGTCGATACCACATTGGGAAGTGGGTTAAAATTGAGTCACAAGATTTGAGGATACAACAACAACAGAGTGAGTTAATAGAAAGCGTGTAAAAATAATAAACATCACGACCCGCAGTACGTGCTAGTGGGGGGGTGGTGGGCGGTGGAGATCGTCATCCAGCCGTGCCGCGCGCGTGCCCGTGCCACGCGCGTGCCCGTGCCACGTGTAAACGTTACGTAACTCGACCGGTTGAGGTGGTGGGAATCGGCCGGCGAAGTTGCTCAGGGCCCGATAAACGTGAGACGGGAGCCGGCCTCTCGCACAACGCAAAGACTCCCCCGCCGCCGTGTAGCCTTAACACACTTACACAATACAGAGAGAGGGGAGGGGGGTTGGTTTTGGTTATAATAGCACGTAAATATAACTGTGGACGTTGAAACACCGCCACCACCCGCCACCACCCGACAAGCGAGGTTTCGTCACGCAAACTTGAACGTGGCCAATTCGTGACGAGTTACAGCACCCCGGCCGTGTTGGGGGGGTGGTGGTGGTGGGGGGTGGTGGTGGGGGGGGGGGGGGTGGTGGTGGGGGGGGGGGGGTGGTGGTGGGGGGGGGGGGTGGTGGTGGGGGGGGGGGGGTGGTGGTGGGGGGGGGGGGTGGTGGTGGGGGGGGGGGGGTGGTGGTGGGGGGGGGGGGTGGTGGTGGGGGGGGGGGGGTGGTGGTGGGGGGGGTGGTGGTGGGGGGGGTGGTGGTGGGGGGGGTGGTGGTGGGGGCAGAGCACACGACATTGACGATGGTTCGCCGCCGGTAATTACAAACCGGCATGCTGTGAGCGAGTACGCACGAGGGGGTGGGGTGGGCCAGCAAACCACGCCAGGCCGCCTTTGTCTCCCCCCTCCCTCCCTCCCGCACGCGTGGATACTCGTTTTGAGGCCGAGTCGACCTAGGGGAGGCCCGGCACAGATTCGGACGTCCCAACGGCCGCTCCCCCACGCTTGTTGTGCCGGCGTTCGGTTTTCAAAAACAACAATAGCGGTAACAACAACTACAACAAACGAGGACGAGGAGACAAAACGGCATTCGGGCAACCCCGACTCACCTGCACGCCACCCCGATTAGAATTCCCAGCGCGTATGGTGGTGGGGGAGGGGGCGCCCGGCAGGGTGCGCGTATCCGCTCTAGCAAATACACAGCGCGCTTCCGCCCACCGTGTTTTTTAAATATTTTATAACACCAGGGTGCGTGATGACGCAATGTCGCACGCGCACGCTCGCGATGACGCAAAGTCGCCCGCGCACGCTCGCGATGACGCAAAGTCGCCCGCGCACGCTCGCGATGACGCAAAGTCGCCCGCGCACGCTCGCAATGACGCAACGTCGCCCGCGCACGCTCGCGATGACGCAATGTCGCCCGAGCACGCTCGCGCGCGATGACGCATTCGGTTTGTCGATCGGATGATGTCACGACGCAGACACACAAACCGCGCGTGAACTTAAATCAGAAATACTAATTTAAGACTGGAGGAATCCGATGAGCTATAAAGATATTTTTTTCACAGATGTTTCAGTATGGGCGGGTCAGAGGCGTTACTACAAGAAACAGTACGCACACGATAGGAGTGCAAGGTATAGGAAAGATAAACAAATACATTTTTTTTTAATTTAAAGCTTTCGTGACTGCAGGGATTCATCCATAATAAAGGTTTTTGGGTTAGATCGCGTTTATTTATAAATGTGTCGTAACCCTCCACCACCTGACACGGCCAATCAGCAAAAAAAGTGTCACGTTGACAAAAGACAAATAATTCACTACTTTAGCCCACCGGTGTGTTGAAGAGTGAATCCACAACATTTACAGTTTGAGTACGACGTTTCGCTGGTAAATACATCCAGCATCATCGGGCAATTCGCCAGAATGGTAAAGCCCTCGCTTGCTCCCGGTTTTAAATAGAGCAGCAGGGTGACGTCATCATTTAACTCATATCAGGTGCAGTGATTAGAGGCGGAGGAGGGGTATTGTAATTATATAATCGATTAGTAATGAGTCAATGGTTATGATTAGTAATGAGTTGTAGATTAGTAATTCTTTAAATCAAAATGTAATGTGTATTATTTAATAATACGCTTCCAGGCCGCACTAAGCCTGTAGCTGTCAGAGCGATTAAAGTTATTCTTGTTCCTCTCAATTTCAATGGATCTCTAATTAGTCTTTGCCAGTAATAATTAGTTTTACACACCACTGCAACATTGTCAAAATCAATTGAGTGTCCTTGTTGACAAGCATGTTCTGCCACTGCCGACAGTTGTGTTTGAGATAATTTAATATTTCTCTGATGTTCTTTTAGTCTTATGCTGATGTTACGTCCCGTCTGTCCAATGTAGCAGCTGCCACATAAACAATTAATCCGATATACACCTTCTGTTGATAATTTAGGTAATGCGTCTTTAGTGCAAGATACTAGTTTTTGAATTTTGTGTACTGTACCAAATCTTACTGTAATGTTTTGCTTTTGCAAAACACGAGCTAATTTGTCAGTTACTCCTGAGATATATGGAATTTTTATTGGACTCGGGCGGCGACAGCGACAACGACGATTTGCAGCCCGGCCAGATGGCCGGCAGTACTCCGGACGGTGACAGCGGTTCGGGTGGTGCTGAAGGCCCGGGATCGCCAGAGGATTGGCGAGTCCTCATGACCCAGTGGGAGGCCAGAATGGAGAAGTTGTCGGAGGAATTCCAGAACTTCTTGACGGAGAACCGCATTCAACTACCCGTACCGGGTCCACCGCCAGAGGTTGCCGCTCAGCCGGAGCGGTTGGAAGATTCTGACGACGAAGACGACCAGTCGGAGGGACCGCCACGACGGCTACACGTACAACGATTTGAGGCCAAAGTGGGAGATTGGACGGCATTCATACGAAGATTCCGTGCGGCTTACGAGTCCCTGAAGTGGACGGAGAGTGCCGCGTTACGAGCACTGCCGACGGCATTGGATGATGACTCCTTGGCGACTTTTAACGGACTCCCTGCCGCTGTCAGAAAAACATTGGACGGTGCTATTGCGGCAATGAGGAAGGTCTACGAGCCGCGGTCGGTCGCCAAACGTCGATTTCAACAGAGAAAACGGGAGGCCACGGAGTCCCCCCTGGCATTTCGCAGCGCCTTGCTGGCCCTCGCCCAGGTTGCGTACCCGGCGATGGACGAGGAGGGCTGGGACTCCCTGCTGCAAGAGAAGATGTTACAGCTGGCGAAGGAACTGAAAGTCGTCTTGTCGCTCCCGGACAAGGATGATGACGACGACGTGTCATCGTTGCTGATCGCCAGGAACATACAAGTCAACCTTGATATACGAGACGAACCAGCGGCGGCGGTAGCGCAGCCGTCGCTGACGCCCCTGCCGGGGCTGCGAGCACGGTGGCGGTGGTGGTGGACGAGGCGCCGCCGATGGCAGCGGCGGCCGGAGTGTCGACCGGAGACCGACGGCGTCGTCCCGGGGCATATGGAGACGGCGTGCATCGGACATGCTACGAGTGCGGGCGGAGGGGTCATCTCGCCCACGACTGCTGGAGACGAAGAGCTGGTCCTCCGTGGGCGCCGAACAACTACGGCGGGCGGTTCCCCCAAGACCAAGGATCCCGGGTGAGTCGAGATGCATTCAATACACGGCCGCCCTATCCACATCACTCATTCGCGTCATCTCAACCGTATTCATCGGGTTCGGATAGTACGCATGGCCGGGATATGTGGGGCGCGTTGGTACATCGTGTGTTGGGGGCCGCGCGGGAATCGTCGGATGTGATGGCATGTATTCAAGGTGTTATGGTACGGGTTATTGTGGATACCGGGGCGTCGGCAACTCTCATTTCGTTGCAAACTTTTCGGTCGCTGCCGACGTCGCCTGGATCATTAGCGCCAGTGGAAGGGCCATGTGTAGCGGCAAACGGGGGTAGTTTGGGCATTATGGGCTGCGTGGTTGCGACAATTCAAATTGGGGAGGTTATTGTGACAGGAAGTGTTTTGGTTTCAACGGCCTTGGTGGTACCGTGTTTGTTGGGCACGGATTTTTTGCAAAAGATGCCAATTAAGATTTCAGTGGAAAAAGGTTGTTTGGAATTACCATCGGGGAAATGTATGAAATTTTTGGGGACGCCTTCGAAATTTGCGGCGGCGAACGCTGTGGAGCAGGCCGTGGTGAGCCGCACTGTGCGCGTCCCACCTGCATCGCAAATATTGGTACCGCTACGGTTAAAGAAGGAATTGCCTTGGGATGAGCTACAGGAGGGAGTGCTGTTGACACCCTCAAATGCTGTGTCGAGAATGCCCACTGTGGTAGGAGCTTTGACCATAATACCAACTTATTGTGATCCCTTCATTCAAATTGTAAACGCGGGGCACGAAGAGGTTGTTATTCAAGGGGGCACTACGTTGGCGCACGCAACGGGTGCGCCGGGTCCAGAAACAAAAACATGTTTTGCTACGGGGCAGGATGAAATGTTATCAAGGGAGGAGGACGATCCGGAATGGCTAAGGGATCTTTACGAACAAAACCCAGAGTTATCGCCTGTGCAACGGTCGAGGTTGCATGCGTTGCTAGTGGAATTTAAGGATGTGTTCAGTTCAGGGAAATACGACGTGGGTCGAACGACGTTGTTGCAGCATCGTATTGACACGGGGGACGCACCCCCGATCAGGTTAAATTCGCATCGTGTAGGTCCTCTTGAGAAAGAATGTATTCGGCGATCTGTTGATGAAATGCTAGAGCAGGATATTATCGCCCCATCGTCCAGCCCGTGGGGAGCCCCTATTGTCCTCGTTAAAAAACGTGATGGAACCATGCGATTTTGTGTTGACTATCGGAAATTGAATAAAGTTTCGGTGGCGGAAGCGTACGCGCTTCCACGAATTGATGATTCGCTGGACGCCCTGTCCGGCGCCAGAATCTTTTCGACCCTCGATTTATTGTCGGGCTTTTGGCAATTGCCCCTGGATAAAGAGTCAAGACCTAAAACGGCATTTCGGACACCACAAGGATTGTATGAATTTAACGTGCTCCCGATGGGACTCCACTCAGCGCCGGCGACCTTCCAGCGATTAATAGAACTCGTGTTGTCGGGCCTGCAGTGGGAGTCATGTTTGATATATTTAGATGATGTGATTGTTTTCAGTAGGAATTTCGATGATCATTTGCAACGGCTGCACGCCGTTTTTGGCAGAGTGCGGCGCGCTGGATTGAAATTTAAACCACAGAAGTGCCAATTGTTGAGAACATCGGTGAAGTATTTGGGGCACGTCGTTAGTGCGTCAGGAGTGGCCACTGATCCGGAAAAGACGAGTTGTGTGCGTACATGGCCAGTGCCGAAAACAGCAGGGGAAGTGCGTAGCTTTGTGGGCTTTGCGTCGTATTTTCGGCGGTTCGTTAAGGATTTTGCCACGATTGCTCGACCATTGCATACGCTGACCGGGAAAGGTGTAAAGTTTCAATGGGGGATTGCTGAACAAAAATCGTTTGAAGCGTTGCGGGCCGCACTGGCGGACGCACCGCCGTTGGGATACCCGGATTTTACGAAGCAGTTTATACTTGACACGGATGCCTGTGATACGGGCATAGGCGCGGTTTTGTCACAAATGGTTGATGGCGTCGAGAGAGTGGTGGCATATGGCAGCCGGGTGTTATCGCCGGCGGAGCAAAAATACTGTGTGACACGTAGGGAATTATTGGCGATTGTCCATTTTGTGCGCCAGTACCGACCGTATCTATACGGCAGGGACTTTTTGATCCGCACTGATCACACGGCGCTACAGTACTCGCTGCGCATGGATCAGCCATCGGGGCAAATGGCTCGCTGGATTGAGACCCTCCAGGAGTACTCTTTCACGATCCAGCATAGGAAAGGGACGCACCATGTAAACGCGGATGCTTTGTCGAGGTTTCCGCGACCAACTGAGACGTGTCGGTGCAAAGAGGGCTCGCTGCGTTGCGGCCCGCCGCTGTAGGAGGTTCCGCAAACGGTTGCTGCAGCGGGTTTGGGGGTGCCAGGGATAGTCCCTGGAGCAGAAATTGGACTGTTGGGGTTGTCATTGAAGCAGTGGAAGCAACTGCAGGTGGAAGATTCCTCACTGACCAGGATGAGGCTGCGTGCCTCTCGTTCAAGGGGATCGGAGGATCGCCCATTTTTGATGTTAACGGAGGGGTTGCTTGTTCGCTGGGATGTGGAAGCACAAAAAATTTGTATTGTTGTCCCGAAGGTGTTGCGGGGGAAACTGATTAACGAGGTACATGAGAAATTGC